TATCTTCATTCCTGGCTTGTTATTTCCATGGCACCTTTGTGACTGTGCGTTCCAGGTCTGTCCTGGTTCTTCCGAGCCCCTGCTGTGCAGCTCCCCACAAGATCCATGTTTTGTAGTCTCCTACCCGAACAAAACCCCCTCTGATCAAAATGGATCCATTCTGTGTTAACGTTGCCAGATTTAGCACATACAAGTACAGGATGACCAGTTAAATTTGAATGTCAGATAAACATCAAGTAACTTTTTAGTAGAACTATGTTCTCTATATTGCATGGGACATACTCACCCTGAAATTATAACTGGGCATCCTCTATTATGCTTGGCAATCCTATTAATCTGTGTCTCTCCCTCCACACCGTCGTGAAGCTCTGCTTTCTACTGACTCAGGCTTGTCTGATCAACCAGTTCTCAACACTGGGTTACTAAGTGTTACCAGGTGAAACAGTAGAATTTCAAACCAAAAGGTGACTTGACCATAAGAATTTAAGGCATCATAGGACCTTTTGGTGAATCTTTTAAGGAAACTGATGTAATAATATTCACAGTCCCGGACTAGGGAACTCAAAAGCTAAAAAGGTAATAGGTACCATTTTTGGCATTCACTAAATTATTATTATTTGTTAGCTGGATAAAATATATTAAACACTGATTATAAGCCAGTTACCATGCTTTACAACAATAGTTCAATTAATTCTTGTGTCTACGAGGTAGGTGCCGTTATTATTTCCTTTATGACAAACCTCAGTGAGCTTGATGGGCCGAGCCAAGACCATGTGGTGGTAGGTGGTGGATCCAAGATGTGAATTCAGATCTAACTCCAAACAGTAAGTTTTCCACCAGGTTGGTGGTTTTATTCCCATTTTCCAAATGAGGAAACTGAGGATCCAAGATATGCTGCAGCTATAGGTGACCAAGCCAGGACCAAAATCAAAGAGGGGGGATAAATTGCCACAAGTCTTTACTTCTAGACAGCCACATAAATGCTCTCTCTCTCCCTCCCTCCCTCCCTGCCTTCCTTCCCCCACCCCCTGCTATTTTTAAATGCATTTACTCTGAGAGTTAATATGGTAAGGCATTATACATTCCTCACAACTTAAAATAAAAACTACATAAGGGTCATGAAGAGATATATAGACAATGCGGGATTGAGTAAGTGGGAGATCATCTGTTTATCGTGCCTGGGAGTATCGTAAGATCCTAGGCTTGGGTAGCAAAAGAAGACTAAGAGGAATCTCTTGGTTAACCCAAGGTCATCTGGGATCATTTTTGCTTCTTTGGCACCAAGATCCAGTAGGGTCTGTCCCAGCCCTCTGGAAAATCTCATACCATCTGTTTCTGTCATCAGTGGAACAAAGAAAAGATGCTCACTGGTGTCTGGGGTTGCACCAGGAGTGACTGTGGGCAAACCAGCCCTGCAACCATTCCAAACAAATTTCCGTGATCATTCAAGTGTGGCCTCTTACCTGGGAGCGAGACAGCATGCAAGTGTCTGGGTAGGACAAAGCAAAGCACCATGGCAGAGTATGGGGCGACTGGGCAGGGTCCTGGAACTGACTGTCCTAGACCTACCTTGACTCACTGTCGGACCTCAGACAAATCCCTGCCACGTTCTGAGTGTCAGTTTTCTTGTCCATGAACTAAGGGAATTTGGTGGGTCATCTCTAAGTTTCCTCTGCACACATCTTGTCTTTAGATTGTACCTAACTCCTGCCTCTCTTCTTCTCATTCATACAGGCACCTTCCTCTCCACATCTCCACCCTCTCCTGGAGGAATGTAATTTTCCTGCTGCTTCTCTCCCTCTCTTTGGAGCAGAGCGCTGCATCGCTGGCTGAGGAAATCAAAGGTGGGTTCAGAAAAGCTGCAGCCCTGGGAGGCATTCTTGGGGATGGAGTGTGAGACAGAGGCGAGGACTGGGGTCCTGTGAGGCCACCTCTACTGTAGATAGACAGCTACCCCTGCTCGCCTCGCTGACCCTCCAAAGCCTTCCCTCACCTGCCCCCCCAAATTATTTCTCTAACTTTTTCTGTTATGTGTTTTTTCCAAGTTTAATTTTTTTAAATTAATGAGTCATCAGGTACAAACCTGAGGGGGAGGACTAGTGAGGAGGCTGTTTCCATAGTTAAGAAAAGAGGAGGATGAATTCAGGTGCCGATCTGGGGGGCGGGGGGGAGGCGGTGTGGGGGTGGTGAAGAGGGAGAGGAGAGGGGCTTGGAGAGAGATTTTGGAGATAGAATTGACCAAAGCCCATGACTAATACGATGCTGGGGTGGCAGAGAGGGAGGAAGGAATCTCTGGATTCTAATAACAGACTGGACCTGTCGATGCCAAATACCAAGATGGGGAACAGAGAGTAAGGAGGTGCTGCCTAGGCACAGCAAGACACTAGTTCCATCTTAAACATGTTAGAACAGGGGTGCTTACGAGATGCCCAAATACCGTCTTTCCTAGGCAGTTGGAAATAGGGCCTTTAGTTTGGAATAGAGGCTGTGTCTGGAGAGCCATGTGGGAATCACAGTCGAGAGATGTGATCACTAGGAAGTATGTGTCAGGTAATGTCAGGAGACAGATGTGGCCAGAATTCCCCAGTAGATGCAGAGAGCCCCCTGGGGTGTTCAGGAAGAAGGCTATACACACAAGGCAAGTGGCTGAGAAAAGCCGACCAGGGAGGAAGGAGGGTTTTAAGAGAGAGTTCAAGCTGACAATGGGGAAGGAGCCACAATGACTGAAACTCAACCAAAGGTTTTAATGGCTCCTGGAAGCAGAAGGGAGGCTGGAATCAATACTAGTGAGGGTTCGTTTGTCTTCACAATCCTAAGGATTCCCTTTCTATGCCTCTTTACCCCTTTGGAGGTGTCCTATTGGATTTTATTAACTCTCCCTGTTCCCAAACCTAGAACAAGTAGAAGCCTACATCCTGGTGCCCAACTGCCTGCTTCAGGATTGCCTGGGGTTCTTTTTAAAAAGTGGGGTCCCTAGGCCTCTCTTTCTAGAGATTCTGATTCAGTCAAGAGTCTATGTGTTTTGGAAGATGCACAGATGATTTTGATGAATGCTCCAAATTAGGAGCCATATACTCTTCTTAGCCTCAAGCCATACTTGGAGGGTGCATTAAGGGTGCCATGAAGGTTAAAAGTTATAGCTGGAAAGTACTAAAATTCTCAGTGGCCAGTCTTCAGGGAAGACGTGGGGCTTCTGAATTGAGTCCTGGATTGTAAGTCCCAGACCTGCCCCTAATTCACTATATTGTCCTATCTGACCTCATTTTTATAAACCTGTGAAATTAGGGTGGTGCTTATGATAAATATGGTGCTTCCAATTCTAAATAAAGTTCTATAATTCCATGATTCAGTAGTATCCAAGAGGATCATGCCTCTCTGGTCAGACTCCACTGGAGGGATACCCAGTGTAGAGCCGCGGAGCCACATTAAGCACTGTATTGTCTATCTGTTGCTGTGTAACAAATTATCTGTAGATAAGAAATCTGGCGTGGTGCATCTAGATTCTTTGCTCAGGTTCTCACGAGGCTGAGGTCAAAGTGTCAGCCAAGGATGTAGTTCTCATTTGGGACACAGTGTCTTCTTCTAAGATCACCGGTTATTAGCAGAATCATTTCCTTGAAGTTGTAGGACTAAGGCTCCCTTCCTGGCTGTCCCTTCTAGAGGTCACCCTCATTCCTTAGCACTTGGCCTCAGCCATCTTCAAAGTTACCGACTGGATCCTTCTCATAGTTTGAATCTCTCTGATCTTTTCTTCTCTACCAATCAGAAGAAAACTCTGCTTTTAAAGGACCCAATTGATTGGGTCTGGCCCACTTGGTTATTCTCTGATCTTAAGGTCAACTGACTTGGGACTTGAGTTTTTCTGCAAAATCCCTTCACAACAGTATCTACATTAGTGTTTGATTCAATAACTAGAAGATGGGAATCTTGGGGGTGCAACTTTAGAATTTTGTCTACCACAAGCACATGAAATCAGGAAGCCGTGTCTAACCCTAGAAAGGGAGGAAGCAAACTCCACACCTGCCAAGCTCTTACCTTGGGCCAGGTGCTGTGATAAGTGCATTATGGACATCATCTCTGTCTACTGTTATAAGCAGCCTGTAAAGTAGGGATTGTTATTCTCATTTTAAAGGTGGAAAACTGATGGCTCAGACAAAGGAAAATACTTTCCCATCATTATTTAGCTAGTGAGTGTTGGAGCCAGGGTCCCAAGGCACATCTGTCTGACTGTAGTTCTCCTTCCACTCCACCATTCCTTCCCCCCTTAGAGGTAACCTAGAAGTCATATAATCGAACTCAGATTGGTCTTGAGTTTACCAGTAGCCAAGGGCCAAAGTTAAGCCTCCTGACTTCTATTTCCATGATGTTTCCACCACTCCTTACTAATTTCCCCTATCAACCAAGATACTGGAGGAAAACGAGTTAAGCAGTAAAATATTAAGTTTCAAAAAGAGAGGGAAGCTCCTAAATTTAAGACAAGGGTCTAGGTCCTTACCTAACCCCTTGCCCTGGAATCCAAGATCCTTCTTCCATTCTACCTGGGCACGAATTCCTGATTCAGATCCATCTAAATGGGCTAAGAGTGGTAAGAAACAGACCTGGCCCCTAAATATAAGCAGATCAAGAATCGAGAATTGAAAGTAGAGGATGGGGCTGAGAGAATTTCATACTCCCCTTTGCCATGGGAGGAGAAGAGCTGAAACTCTCAAGGGATGTGAGTGTGGACATTTATTTCTTGCAGAGAAACCAGGAGTGTGCCCCGGAGAAAGGATTACCTGTAACGTTCAAATTCAGGACTACTGCAGAACGGATTTCGACTGCATCGGACACCTGAAGTGCTGCATTTTTGCCTGTAGGAAGAAATGCTTGGATCCCTATCAAGGTAGTGGCATCCAGGTTGAGGGCAAAGTTGCCTTTTGAGGTTTCCCTCTTCTTGCTCTGCCCAGAACTGGCGGGATGGCAGGACAAAGAGGCCAGGGCTCACGCTTTTCTCATTCTCTTGTTCAATTCTCAACCCTTGAGTACAGACCATGAGTCTAGACATGGTGGCCATCAACGAGATAATATTAATGTTAGTCTTCTTTGGTCAACATTCAGTCATTGACAAATAACTAATACCTGTTGCATGCTCACTCTGCATCGAGAGACTGTTGTTGGCACTGTGGCAAAAGCAAACCTCAGTCAGTTTAGATGCTGGAGTCATTTGGGGACTCTTTGGCCTTCAAGGAGGTTTTCTGGTAACTCAAGGAACTGTGCGTTTTATAAAGATTCTTTCATGCACTCACTCATCATTCATTTATTCAACAAATATCTATTGTCGATGTCCTTTGGACAAAGACCACCAGGAACACACCTACAGTTGAACAACTGGGTTTATTCCTTGTTGCAATGTGGGAGAATGTTCACCATAGACAACCATGAGGCATCTCAGCAAGAAGCTGTTAGAAAGAATCTATTATAGGATTTGGGTTTTGACTGGATAATTTGGGGAAGGGTCTAAAGGAGTGAGGGCTTGCTCTAGATTGTGTCTGTCAGAAAGTGGGAAAATTCTGTGACTGGGTGTCCCAGTGAATCTTAACTATACAGAGGACAGACTAGAGTGAAGGTAAAGCTATAATTGGTAGAGAAGTTTAAATCACGCATGTTATCTGGGAGAGGGAAGTGTTTGGTATCTCGTAGGTTTCACAGTGACCTTGTTTTTGTCTCACTTCATCGTGATCTCAGAGTGATCTTATCTGATTTTTTATTTCCAACAAGGGTCTTGTCCTCCTGAAGCTCAGAGCAATGGAGAAGAAAGATCAGCTCAAAGTACAATATTTTTATATGCTCTTCATAATATTCTTTGCAACGAAGAGTGATTCTAGGAGGTACTGTACAATATAGAGTATTAGTAGTAGAACTAGGACTAGAACCTAGCCTTTCTTTTTTTTTAACTGAGCCCCTTTCTGTGACTTGGATGATAATACCATGGACTATGAGAATGGCTGGGGACCTGACTTCCTTCTTTTATCTCTACCTTTTATGTTCTTCCTTCTTTTTTTCCTGCCCTCAGAACCCTGCACACTGCCCTTGAAGGAAGGAATATGTAAGCTTAACCTACAGCGCTGGTATTTTGACTTTGAAAAAAGTAGCTGCAAACCCTTTATATATAGGGGCTGCCTTGGGAATGCAAACAACTTCTTCAGCAATGATGACTGCAAGGCGGCCTGCATGTCAGTTGGTGAGACCCATATCCTGGCAGTCAGAGGGCCTAGTTTAACTAGAAATAGTATACCAGGGAGGTTATAGGCTCAGACTTTGAGGTTAAACTTTCTTGGTTCAAGTCTTAGCTCTGTCATTCACTGGCCAGGAGGTCTTGGACCAGTTGTCTGCCTTTGTGAGTTTCAATTTTCTTGTCTATAAAATGAAGATATAGTAGTATTTACCTATGGAATTGTTCTGCCAAAAAAATGACACAATATACATAAAATGTTAATAAATTTTGGCCAATGGGACCTGAAAGCCAGGTCTATTCCTTGGAAGAAATTTCCTCATCATATAAACCTGTTGAGCACCACCCTGAGGATTTACCCAAGAATGAACCATAGAAAAGCCAGCTCTGGAATCCCATGGAGTAAGTGTAGACACTGGCAGTGGAGAGTAGGATGGGGTGGACAGGAAGCCTGTGGATTCCTTCCTTAGTATAATGATCACCAGTAATGTTGGGAGACGGTGTCCTACAGCACTTAGGAGTCAAATGACCTGGATTACAATCTGACCCTTCCCACTTACTGCAAGTTTCTTCACCTCTTTGAGTTTCAGTTCCCTCCCCTGTGATACTGGAATAATAGCAAACACCTCCTTGCGTTGTTGGTAGGAGTATATGTGATCAAAAACACAAAGACTCGACATGGTAGCCGTCCAGTGGTGTGGATTCACCAAATGGTGACAATTGAGGTGGTGAACATTGATCTTCAAAATGCAGCCCTTTGTGATGTATGAGGCAGCATTGCAACGTCAACCTCAGAATCTGTGAGGCACGCTGAAAGATGTACCATCGCTACCGCTTTACACGTAAGGAAATAGAGACAGAGAGGTAAAGTTAGTTGCCTGAGCACCCACGGTCGGTCAGGAGTAGAGCATGATGAAACAGAGACCACAAGCTTCCCTTTATGGGAAGCTCTGAGGAATAATGGTGCTGTGGACGAGGCCTCAGTCTTCTCTCCCCAGAGCATCAGGAAGACAAAGCCAGGGAAATGGGCTTAGGTTGCTTTGTGGAAAACTTAGGTTGTGACTCAGAGACAATCTGAGAGTCAAGCATGCCGTGACCTGAGCCTGACTGGGGGAAGAAGAATTTTCCTGGAGAAGCCCTCATAGAATTTGTAATCAGATAAGGACAACAACAGGCATGCACAAAATCCCAAAGAATTGATTTAAATACCATCTATGTCCTAATGACCCACACTTCACTTGTCTAAAATGGAATCACTTACCTTCCTTCCCCTACCCCAAATCTGCCCTATTCATAGTTCTCCTCACCTATTAATAGGTTGAAAAAACTTTAAAATCACACTTGATGCCCCTTTTTCTCAGATAACATCCATTAAGTCAGGAAATAATTTTAGTTCTACCTTGAAAGTAGATCCTGAATCTGACCACTTCTTACCACCTCTGCAGCTGCCACCCTGATCTGAGGCTCCGTATTCTCACCTGGATTGCTGCAGCAGCCTCCTAAAATGTCTCCCTGCTTCCATCCTTCGTGCAGTCTATTGTCAACACAGTAGCCACAATGACCTTTTTAAAACATGGGTCAGACTATGTCACTCCTCTACTGAGAACACTGCAGTGGCTCCCCATTTCATTCAAAGTAAAACCAAATATCCTAAAATAGCTTGCATTGATTTGTGTAGACTTCAGATGATTACCCCTACTTTACAGAGAAGGAAACTGAAGTCACTCATTAAATGGCAGAACTGGGACTTTACCTCAGGGCTTCAAGCACGAAGCCCAACACCCTCTCTACCATATCCCATGATATGGTGAGGAAATGTCATTCTTGGATATTTCTAAGAATGGATGGGGTGGGATGAACCAAGTTGCAGAAAGAAGTACTAGCTTCAAAGAGAAGGAAAAGCTGTTTGAAGGGTGGTGAAATGGGGTGGGCTTTGAAGAAACTCACATCTGCTCTTGCTTTAGCCAAGGAAGGACAGTGCCCACTCTTTCCTTTCACTGATCGTATGGAGTGTCCAGCTTCGTGTATGAGTGACTTTGATTGCCCCAAGTGGAACAAGTGTTGTGAATCCACATGTGGCTTTGTTTGCGCCAGGGCCTGGACAGGTGAGGACTAGAGATATACCTGCCCAAGTCTACTGGGCATATGCCAAGGATGTCATGTTGTCCCATGAAATGGGGGTGTCTTGAATCTCAGATTCCCCTTGCATTGACCTTTGAAGAACCTTGGGTGTGTGGGCCCCTTGGGCCCCTTTTAATGCCCAGATAGTGCCCCGATGTTGACCTCTTGAGCTCTGAAGACTATTGTGCTGTTCTTCAAACCCAATCATCACTCTCCATCCTTCCCCCAAGAAAACTTACTTGTTCTGAGTCTCATTCCTCAATGACCTGCAATGTGACAATATCCACTGATTCATAAAAAAATTTATAACCATTAGGTATATTCCTAATAAGCTCTCATGTCTGCACAGAACTTCAGAGCATGAGCATCACAGTCATATCCTGTAAGGTGGCCTGGGGAAAAGATTGGTAGCAAATGCTCTTGGAGTAGAAGCCAACTCTAACCTGGTGTTTATTCCCACATGTAGTCCCAGGGATTGTCAGTTTTTTAAGGTACACCATGTTATGGTAGCAAGAGTTAAAGGCTTTTCAACAGACTTCAACTTTCTATTTGCATTCTGTGTGGCCTTAGGCAACTCACTTCCCCCATATGGTCCTCAATTCCTACAATTCATAAAACAAGAAAGTTCTGGGTGCTTCCTAATACTCCTTCCACCTCTGGTACTCTGGGATTATATAACCCCAATCCATTAATTCTTTTGGAGCAGGCAGTTATCCTATCATATTGCATGAATCAGAGATGGCAAGACTTTTTTGACTCTCTTCAAGTTATTCGCCATAGAAAGTTGATACTCCACCTCCTCCAGTCTATTGTTACTGTAGGGGAAAGGGTAAGAAGCTTAATCAGAATAAAACCCTATTTGAGAGTCCCAGGATTCCCCAAATTTGTCTCAAATTATGACCAAGTATTTCAACATCAAGTATCTGATTTCACTCTATAAAGTCAAAACAGGTCTCTGCCCACGCAAGCCCTTGGTGTGTCCCAAGATTGACAAACCCAAGTGCCTGCAGGATGATGACTGCCCATTGGTGGAAAAGTGCTGCACAGATTGTGGACTGAAATGCATCGAACCCCAAATTTGAACAGTAAGTAGAAAATACTATCATCAAAATAATTAATTATGAGTAGCATAATCAAAAGCTATCAGTTTTGTATCCAACTACCTTGCCAAATGATCTTATTAAGTATAACAATATTTAATAGGGATACTTTGATTATATATATTCATAACATCTGAAAATAATGATAAATTTGACTCTTTTTATCCAACTTCATGACATCATTTTCTTGTCTTCTTATGTAGAATCTCTGAAATAAGGTTGAAAATAAAGGCAATAGCATCTCTCTATGTCTACTTCCTTATTTTCAAGTCAATAGCTACTGCAGTAGTATAAAAAGACATTTGTTGGATTTGGGATAAACAGATTTTATGCACTTAGGTTATTTCCTTTTTTAGGGTTATTTCCTATCCATTTACAGCTGCTATTGAAAATGATTGCTGAATTTTATCATGTATTTTTTAAGCGTATAGTCATATAATGATTTTTCTCTTCCAATTTGTTGTCTTAATAACCTACATTTAACCCCCCACTACTAAATTTGACTGGCTTTAAAAAAAAAAAACCTACATTAATTTTCATAGGTTGAACCATCCTTGCATTCTTAGAATAACCTTAATCACATTGATGGTATACTTGTATCAATACACTGTTGGGGTTTTTTTAGCAAATAGTTTATTTAGAATTTTCTTATTTATAGTCAAAAGAAAAGTAGGTTAATATGTTTTGTTTGTTTTGCTATTTGGGTCATATTATTTTCACAAAACTAGCATGGGAAAATAATTGGGAAATGTACCTACTTTTTCTATGATCTGAAATATTTTTAATAGCATACCAAGTCTCTGTATGTTGAAGGATACACAAAATGCAGCTCCAAAAGCATCTAGATCATGTACCTTCTATGGTGGTATGTTTTAGTAAATTTTAAATATTTCATCTTATAGTCTCTGTAGGTTCTCTACCCCCTCTTCTGTGAATTTAGGTCTTTTATATTTTGCTAAAATTGATCAATTTTCCCTATATTACTTTAGAGTAGTATAAATTGTTCTCTATGTGATTCTTTTCATATCTTTAATTTTGGTTCATGTTTTCAGTCATACATTCATGTTTCTACCCACCCATCTACCTGCTAACCATGCAATCCACTTACTAATCTACCCATTCACTCACCATCCATCCAAGTACCCAATCCCCACTCACCTATCCTTCCACTGATACACCTTTCAATTTATCTATTTCCCCACCCCTGTGTCCATCCACTTATCCTTCTTACTCATATTCCTTCTATTTACCTAATTGCCAATTTTACATCCAGTCTTTAATCCATCTACCTATCATTTACCTCTTTCCCTCTCTCTTTCTCTCTCTCTCACACAAATTACTTTATACCCATCAACATTCTTTCCCATGATTTCTACACCTATCTGCCTCCATCCACACACCAATCCACTCATGCACCTTCCCTTCGAACAGCCTCCATCAATAGGTCCACTATCCCATCATTAACCTATCCATCCTTATATTCAACCCAATCCACATCTCCAGCCAACCAGTCATTCACCTATCCATAATCTATGCATTCATGCACCCAAATATCCACGCTTCCCTCACCATCCCCCTTCCTACTCATTCAATTATCCTCCTATTCATCATTCTATTAGCTACCCATCAATCCATATATTCACCTACCTATACACACACCTACCAATCCCCCCACCTACCTCGCTCACCAGCAGGATGTACCATTTCCTCTCAGACTATTCATGTTCTAAGTACTCGGTTCTAGACACAGCTTTGTGTAATGGAGCTCAGAGCCCATGGGGGGAAGCAAACATGCCACTTAGTAATACAGTTAGAGGCACAGAGAACAACATAGAAAGCCAGTGACAGAAAATCAGTCCATGTGACAGGTCTTGGTCTAATTCAAAAGCAAGAGTTGCCAGACAGAGGCCAGTCTGCTTGGTTCTCCGTGGAGTCACCCATTCTGAGCACAGCATTGGTCCTAGAACAGAAGTGGCACTGAGGCAGAGATAGGGCACTATGGCCCTCAATGAGAAGAGATGAGTCACAGACAGGCAAAGACCCAGGTAGGTCTCTGCCCAGCCTTCTCTAAGAAATTAGGTGACTGAAGGGCCAAAACCATGATGCATCCCAGGCTCCAAAGACATAAATCTAGTTCGACCTGCTTGGGAAGTGAGACCCTTGGTCAGGCCTGAAAATTAGGCAGGACAGAATAGAATGGAACAACCAGAAAGAGTTTTAATTTATTTTAAAGAAAATTTAGAAAAGAATGCACCCAGGCTGGGCGCAGTGGCTTACGCCTGTAATCCTAGCACTCTGGGAGGCCAAGGCAGAAGGATCACTTGAGCTCAGGAGTTCAAGACCAGCTTGAGCAAGACCCCATCTCTATTAAAAAATAGAAAAATTAGCTGGGCGTGGTGGTGTGCACCTGTAGTCCCAGCTACTTGGGAGGCTGAAGCAGGAGGATCGTTTGAGCCCAGGAGTTTGAGGTTGTAGTGAGCTATGATGACACCACTGCACTCTACCCAGGGTGACAGAGTGAGACTATGTCTCAAAAATAAATGCAACCTTAATTGGGAACCCTGGGAACCATTTACTGACTCCATGAGTCTTGAGCCTCTGTCTCCACTAATGACATCACCTTCTCCCCCCTTTCCTTTTTTTAAGGTGTGCACTTTTACTGAACTAATCTTGAGTCTGTGTACAGATAAGCCTGGGCTGCCTCCACACCTCCACCTACTCCCAGGGAGACTGAAGGCCTTCAGACATCTCAAGTTGGGGGAAAAAGAGGGGGCCACGATAGCTGATCATTCAAAATAAACCAAAGTTAAAAAGTATCACTCTGGTTTCTCTTCAGATCATATAAATATTTTGCCTTTTTAAAAAGTATTAGCCAAAGATTTTAAGAATTTGCATTACATAATTTACACAAAAGGAGTGCTGTCACCTCCCCTGTGTGGACTTGGGAGAAGACTGGACCATTCTCCTTAGAGAGAAGCAGGTTGCTTTTCAGAGGACAAGGGACTTCCTGTAACAATGCATCTCATGACATTTGGAATGACTGTTTAGAAAAAAGAACAACATACAAAGCCTTTGGCCACATTGTCAAACTTTGGGGATGTCAGCTCCAATTGCTGTTGCCTTCACCATTCCAGTTTTTAAATCCTGAGTCAAACCAAAAACGAAGAAACCAAAAAAAAAAAAACAAAAATCAAAAAACAAAGAAAGTCATGCCGATCTCATCTTGTTTTCTGAGCAAGTTAGGTTTTATCAAGAAGGGGTGTAACGAATGCAGCCAAGGAACAGTCTGCCTAGAATAATTTGTGGTGGATGGTGGAGTGGCAGACCTTTTGTACGCCTGTCTGCTGATTCGCATCTGCTAGAATATGGACAGCAAGGCCAGGATGGAGCCACCAATCCACATGGAGTACTTGTGCTCGGGGGGAGAGATGATCTTGATCTTCATTGTGCTGGGAGCCAGGGCGGTGATCTCCTTCTGCATTCTGTTGTTGGTGTCTGGGTACCTGGTAGTGCCACCAGACAGCACTGTGTTGGCATACAGGTCCTTGCAGATGTCCATGTCACACTTCATGATGGAGTTGCAGGTAGTTTAATGGATGCCACAGGATTCCACACCCAGGAGGGAAGGCTGGAAGAGAGCCTCAGAGAAGCAGAACTGCTGGTTGCCGACGGTGATCACCTGACCAATGGGCAGCCTGTAGCTCTTTTCCAGGGAGGAGCTGGAGGCAGCAGTGGCCCTTTCCTTGAAGTCACACACAATTTCCCACCTGGCCCTGGTGGTAAAACTCTAGCCATGCTCCCAGAAGATCTTCATGAGGTAGTTGGTCAGGTCCTGGCCAGCAAGGTCCAGATACAGGATGAGGGCGTAGGAGGGAGGGCATAGCCCTTGTTGATGGGCACAGTGTGGGTGACCCTGTCACCAGAGTCTATCATGATGCCAGTGGTATGGCCAGAGGCATGCAGGGACAGCTCAGCCTGGATGGCCAACTACATAGCTGGGGTGTTGAAGGTCTCAAACATGATCTGGCTAAAGTTCTCACAGTTGGCTTTGGAGTTCAGGGGGGCCTAGGTCAGCAGCATGAGGTGCTCCTCGGAAGTCACATGCAGCTTCCTGTAGAAGGTGTGGTGTCAGATCTTCTTCATGTGCTCCCAGTTGGTGACAATGTCATGTTCGATGGGGTGCTTCAGGGTCAAGATGCCTCTCTTGCTCCAGGCCACACTGCCCACAAAGGAGTCCTTTGGGTCCATGTCCACCATCACACCCTGGAGCCACTGTCCACAGTGAGTGTAGCAATATCATCATCCGTGGTGAGCTGGACGGTGGGTGTGGACCAGCGGCAGAACAGCAGGGTGAGGGCCAGGGGTCTGTGCTCACAGGGTGGACATGGTCTTGGTGATTCTTCATCCCTTTTGGACTCACCATTCCTTTCCACCTTCAACTCCATAGTGAAATATCAGTATTATATCCACATGGATACCAGAAGATTCCCTAGTGAACTGTGGCAAGAACTGATATGCTCAGCTCCCTCAACCTTATCTCTGACACTCACTTGCTCGGTGACATTCAGTCAGCAACCTCACTTCTCTGACCTATGATCCCTATCTATAAAATGACAAAATGGGGCTTGATGGTCCCTCAGAACCTTTCCACCTGATTATTCTGGGTTTCACTCTCTCCTGGGCTGAGTTTGGGAGAAGATGGGAAGTAGAATAAGAGGACAGCACTGCTTAGGATGCCTCGGTTACTCATTAGGAACTCTACCCCTTATCTCTTGTGGGATCTTCCTTAAGTGAGATTGTGAAGTTGGCAGGATGGGATTCCCATGGGGGCTCTGTCTGTGATCCCAAATTTTGTGACCATATAGTCACTTGCTGATGATAAGGGTGGCTTCTGTCTGTCATGTAGGAAAATTTGGAGAATAAAGCTTGGCCCAAAAGGGTAACACCTAGTTAGGGAAGGAAACGGGAGCCCTGCAGATAACATCTACTCTTTGAAGAATGTCTCTCCCTGCAACCAGGCCCAACTGAGTGGCTGGCATTGCGGACTCTGTGGCTGCAGGATACTGCCAAGGTCACCAGCACCCCCTTTCCTGTAGCTCTTCCACCAGCCCAGTTAGAACCCACAGACTCTGCGGTGTTACTGAACTTCATTCAGTTGTAGTCTCTAGAACAGTTCCCTTCATCTCACGGTTCCTCCTCAGACAGTGAGGAGTTTGTGGCAGAAGATAGAAGCTCCCTTATAAGCTCTGACCTTCTCTGCTGCTCTCAAAGCAACATGACTTTGACAAACACCGGCTGAAGACTCTGTAATCAGCCCGATTCTTTCCCCACACCCTACTCGATGGCAACATCTTTACTGTTTGGCCTTAGTCAGAGAATATGAGTGACCCAAAGAGAAGATAAAAGGGAGAAGGATGGGAGGAAACTGTGGGAGAGAGAGAAAGGGACACAGAAACCACGGGAGACCCACAGAAAAAGAAAAAAAGTTAGATATAGGCACAAAGCGTCCCAGAGAAACAATGAGTTACCAAGAGATTGATAGAGACACATTGTCAGGGACAAACAGAAGGGGTGTGCTAGTTGGCATGCAAGTAAATGCAAAACGAATGAAGGATGAGGACATTCCACAGCTCTCCAAGTTACCAAGGTGAAGACCCAAAATGGTGGCATTCATGCCTAAGGCAGCCTGGAAAGTGTGAGATCAGCTTCGCCCACTCCCTGGGTTGACCAGAGGGCCCAGCCCAGCGCAGCCTAGGGGTCAGGGCCAGGAGCCATCCAACAAGAGACCCTCCCCCCCGTGCTGTGAGCTGTGGGTACCAGTTAGTCCCACGTATGACCTTGGAACTTGGCGTTCCCAGCAGGAAAGGGGGTGGCTGGCTTGTCTCCAGTTCTTATACGGAAGGTGCTGGCTTCTGAAGGAATAGGCAGGGCCAAGGCAGCCAGACATTTCCAAGTTCTGGAACCACCAGACAGGCAGGTCCCTCTTCAGAATGAAATCTTCTGGACTTTTGAGCCTCCTGGTGCTATGCATCCTCTTCATGAATGTCCAGGGACCTGGTCTAAGTGAATGGTTCTTTCCCAGTAAGTACTGGGCCTCAGCCCTTACCCCAGGGAGAGGGGAGTTTACTGGGAGGAATAAAGAAGGAACAAATTGTCAGATCTGGGTTGCTTTCCACTATCTCAGTTCCCATCCCGGGTTGGGAGAGGAGGGAGAGGTTTGGAAGACCCCTTCTGTGAATCCAGAAACCCTGACTCAGGCAATCCCCCCTTTCAGCCCCCTTAAAGTGGAGAGTCTTTCCTGGGAAGGGGATGGGGGGTGGGGGGGTGCAGGGAGAGTCACAGGATCTAACCCTTATAGGAGGAGCTTATATTAATTGGAATCTGGGAAGGCTAAGGGACCTTCCCCTCACCCCATGAGAAAGACAGGCCCCCTTTTCAGGATAGCATCTCTATCTGCTCCTGGTTCTTTCAAATGCAGTTCTAAAAAGTGTCCCTGCATCCCCAGGGGTTCCTTGACTTTGGGATAAAGGACAGTATTCAGAAGTCCTTCTAAACTTAAGACACTAATACTCCATGACTCTATGGTAATAATGATAATTGTTATCATTTGCTGAACATTCAGAACGTAGGGATTTCTGAGTAGGGATTTCCAAAAAAACAAACAAAAACAGAGGAATCTGGAGTCAGATTTAGTGGCTCCAAATCTTGGTAGCCTCATAACCTTGGCCAAGTTACTTCAATTCCCTGTGCTTCAGTTTCCTCATCCATCTGTAAAATGGGGATACTAATAGGACTCATGTCATAGAGTTGTTATGGGGATTAAATGAGATAATACATTCAAAATGCTTAGAAGAGTGTGTGGCTTATAGTAAGTACTTAAGAAATGTTTAGTTAACATTACCGTGCATCACTTACTATGATTAGAGCTTGAAACACTTTGTCTCATTTCTTCCTCACAAGTCCGTGAGGCCAAAATGATTTTAC